TAGTTTCTTGCAGCAGCCTCCGCCTGTGACTGTACCCAGCTAATGCATTTCACCCCACGTGGGCTCCACCCTCGATACCTAGAAGTGGCCTTCTTTGGATGGATGTTTGCAGCCAAGGTTGTGGTTCTACCAAGTATTGACACGGGGGGGGGGGGGTGAATATTTATGCAACTAACAAATGTCTGATCTTCTGTTCTGAGAACTTGTCACAGAATAGTTTACATCTTCCAAAAATGAGGTAATGGAATGCACGGTAAGTCCCCGGTTCACATATATACGGCTGTGTGGGCTGCGTTTTGCGCACATTCATTTGAATGGACTCCTGTGCCCCGGGACACGCAGGGAAGAAGTCCTTGCACTTCTTTGGAATCCGCAGCTGAGGTTCCCAGTACAGTTGTGTTTTCCAGTGTGGGGTGGCGTCACATTAGAACTAATGGCACCCTCCCGCGGGTCCGTATTCCTCTGTACGGGTAGTGCGGCTGCATGGATTTTTGTGCGGATCCACAGCGGCACCACCCGCACAGATGTGACCCTACCCTTACAGGTCAGTTTCCTTTTTTTTTTTTTTTTGGTTAAATTTCACATTTCTTCTAGTAATATGCATATTAACCACTAGAGGGAGCTCTCAGCGGATCAGCACAATCTCTCTGCTTAAAATGTTAATTTACCTTTTTGGAAAAAGATAAAAGGTGAACCAACCTGTACAACCATCCCCTCCCCCCACCCCTTGCCTCAGGGGATGCTGAACTGTCAGTGCTCACTTAGACAGTCCAGCAGCCTACGGATTTGGTATCCCTGCTTTTTGTCTGTGCAACACCTCTGGGATCGATCAGAGCGATTCAGTGTGCAGGTGCTGACCAATCAGAATTGGTTTAGTCCATCCTGGAAGTGCTGCACAGACAAGAGGTGGGGATTTCAACTCCCTGGGGGTAAGTATAGTAGGGACCATGGGGGGGTAGTTTCATATTTCCCTTTGTTTCTGGAAAAGTAAACACTTTAAATGACAGCAATAAGACCCCAATATGACAGCAATAAGACCCCAGCCGCCCAGGAGAGCATTGTTTTCATGAGTCTGCTGACATATAAAAGGTAGGTGGGGGTTGGGGGTCCTGTGAATATAATGAACAATAACCTTCAATTTGCACAAACATTTCAAGTTTTTTGACAAATCGCTTCAGAAATATTCATCCGATGAATCTTTTCAATGATTGTTTTATACACATAAATATTCCTTTTCAGTAGGTTGTAGAAATCAAAAGATAAAAATTCCAATTCAATCCATTGTGAACAAAATGTTCGCTCAGAAATAATCATCATGATCTGGAGGATATAATGAGCCGTTCATCGGTCTAACACCTCATCCATCCATCCATCCATCCATCCATCCATCCTCCAGCAGCCGATATTGTGCAGACTGATGAGAGATTTCAGTATGTATGTGAATCCTAATATTGGTGTATATTATTGATGTTTCTCTGTACAGACCAGAAAAAGTGACCGTGAGCTGGGCTGGGACAACCTGTACCACTGACGGGGGGGGGGGGTGTACAACCAGACCTTGGGGCCCCACACAACCTACCTGATGGGGGATACAAACAGAACTTGGGGCCCCACACAACCTACCTGACGGGGGATACACCTAGAACTTAGGGTCCCAACACAACTTGACGGGGGACTAAAACCAGAACCTGGGCTCCCACACAACCTACCTGACTGGGGGAGTACAATCAGGTAGGTTGTGTGGGACCTCCAAGTTCCGATTGTACCCCCGTCAGGTACGTTGCATGGGGACCCTATGTTCTAGTTGTACCTCCTGTCAGGTAGGTTGTGTGGGAGCCCAAGTTCTAAAGGGGGGGGAAGAGAGACCAGAACATCCACACAACCTACCTGACCAGGTGTCACAACTTAGGGGCCCCACGCAACCTACCTGATGGGTACATCTAGAATGTAGGGGCCCCACACAACCTACCTGATGGGGGGGTACAATTAGAACTTAGGAGCCCCACGCAACCTACTTGATGGGGGGGTACAACTAGAACTTAGGGGCCCCACACAAACTACCTGATGGGGGGATACAAGGAGAACTTAGGGGCCCCATGAAATCTACCTGATGGGGGGGGGGTACAACTAGAACTTGGGGGTCCCAAACTTACCTAAGAGGAGGAGGGGGAACGATCAGAACTTCATGCAACCTACCTGAACGGGCGTTCCAACCATAACTTAAGGGCTCCACACAACCTACCTGACAGGGGGTTACAACCAGAAATAATGGGGCCCCATGCATCCAGCCTGACAGGGCTCCTGTCCTCTTCAGTAACTCCCATATGTATCCTCAGCCACCAGACATGATCTCACACTCCATCCATTCATACAGTGCTTTCCCACGCCTCACCCTGGGCCTTGCTCCGGCTGGTCCCCTAGTAAGCCATGCTGCATCCCTCCCCCACCGGGACCCACAGCCAGCACCAGCTATGGTGTCTCTTCACTGGAGCCCATGGCAATGAATGGAGCTCCTAGATTTGCTCTGACTTGGCCAAAAGGCCTAGAGGAGCTGAAGCCATGATGACTAGGTGGGAGATGGCAGAGGGTCCCATTGTCAGACTGCCTGATATCATCCCCCAGAGCAAAGAAAGGGCCAGCATGAGAAATCATGGGGCCCTGTATGATGTTGTCACTAACAAGACCCCCTGCTACCCGATGGAGCCCAGTATGAAACTACTGCCTATACCCCCCTATCAGCAATACAAGTGTCACAATTTCTATATAAATATCCTGAAAATGATCATTAACAACCCCGGGTATCAAAATATACTATATTTATATTGTTTAAACTCTTATGATGCTTTGCCTGCGTGAGAAGCCTCAGATGGAAGTGGTCATTCTGCATGTAGGGGCTGCATATCGGCCTCATTGACACAAGTTGTAGATTAGGTTCAAGGGGCCAACACCTGACTTAATCCAACCGTTCCCCCACACCCCTCATCCAAGGCAAAGAGGCAATGGCAGCTTCCAGCTCGAGGCTTCTCACCTTGGTTGTTTGTGAAATATTTTTGCCTACATCCATTCCTGGCATAGAAAAGGCGATTTTCCCCACTGCAGCTGTAAATGCCAGGCTGGGCGGCTGTTTTGTAGCGTCTTCTCTGCAGTAATCATCCGGGATATCGGCCGCAGCGCCCCGACTTTGACTATAAAAGAACGCAGGGAAGGTTTTGGGTAATAAAATAACATATAGAAAGTCTAATCCAGGCAGTTCCTCCAATGAGAGCGAGCGATCTCCGGCTGAAGAATGATGGCAGTTCTGGTGAACACTGATTACAGCCATGAATTAGGGCCCCTCCAGGGACCGGTAGTGCATACCTATAAGGAATGGAGGCCCCTCCAGGGACTAGCAGTGCACATCTGTGAGAAACCCTTCAGTGATTACATACAAGGCCGTGGGAAGAGGAAGATCAGGGTGGGGGTCCGCCGTTATAGCCTTCATCACCAGTATAAGGCACCTGTGAGACCCCCACAGACATAGTGCAGGAGAGAGACAACCCCCCACCTACAGGAGAGAGATCCCACCCACCTCCCCAATGAGAGAGAGAGAGACAACCCCACCCACCTCCCCAATGCCCAGGGGGGGGAGAGAGAGAGAGACAACCCCACCACCTACAGGAGAGAGATCCCTTCCACCTCCCCAATGCAGGGGGGAGAGAGAGAGAACCCCACCACCTACAGGAGAGAGATCCCACCCACCTCCCCAATGCAGGGGGGGAGAGAGACACAACCCCACCACCTACAGGAGAGAGACCCCACCCACCTACCCAAAGCAGGTGGGAGAGAGACACAACCCCTTCCACCTACCCAATGCAGGGGGGAGAGAGACACAACCCCACCACCTACAGGAGAGAGACCCCACCCACCTCCCCAATGCAGGGGGGAGAGAGACACAACCCCTTCCAACTACCCAATGCAGGGGGGAGAGAGACACAACCCCACCACCTACAGGACAGAGATCCCACCCACCTACCCAAAGCAGGGGGGAGAGAGACACAACTCCACCACCTACAGGAGAGGTATCCCACCCACCTACCCAAAGCAGGGGGGAGAGAGACACAACCCCACCACCTACAGGAGAGAGATCCCACCCACCCACCTACCCAAAGCAGGGGGGAGAAAGACACAACCCCTTCCACCTATCCAATGCAGGGGGGAGAAAGACACAACCCCACCACCTACAGGAGAGAGATCCCACCCACCTACCCAAAGTAGGGGGGAGAGAGACACAACCCCACCACCTACAGGAGAGAGATCCCACCCACCTACCCAAAGCAGGGGGGAGAGAGACAGGGAGACCCCCTCCTGCATCCCCCCACCAACTAAGAAATTAAACCCCCCCCCCCCCCCCATATAACAAATGCAGGAAAGAGACTGCCTTTTCCTGCATACTGAGTGCAAGAGGGAATCCCTGACCTATCAAGAGAAAGACCTCCACAGACTGAGGGGGTAGGCAAGAGATCAACACCCCCACATTATGTACAAGAGACAGACTCCCCATACTATGTACAGCAGTTACCCCTCTCTCCATAGCAAGTCCTGGTAAAGGAGAGAGACCCCCTTTCCCCCCTGCCCTCCATACTATGAACAGGAGCAAGACATCCTCCATAGTGAGTGCAGGCAAGGGACACCCCCCCTACACTATGTACAGGTAAGAGGCAACCCCCCCCCCAGCCCCATAGTTTGGAAAGGGGGGGAGCATCCTCCCTCTTGTACATATTGAGTGCCGACAAGGGACCCCCACCCTCATACTATGTACAGGAAGGAGACAACTCCCCCATACTATGTACAGAATACCCTCCACGGAGAGAGCAGACAAGGGACCCCCCCATACTGATCTCGGGTGAGTTTTGGCACTGGTTGCTCAGGACTCCTCGGGGCCTCCAGAGAGTAAAGGAACAGCGCTTGTAAACGGTAACATCAAATCTCAGTCTGCAGTTCTAGAGCGTTCCAGAGCGCCTCTACATTATAATCCGGGGTTCCGGCACGGACTCGGCGATGCATTTGTGGGGTAAGACATTGGCTCCGTTCAGGTAAAGCTCATCATTCACAATAACGTCCTCGCCCAGTACCGTCACGTTCTCCATCCGTACCTGAAATACAAAAGACGGAAATGTCACACGCTCCACGTGAATGAAGATCTTTGAACTACAGTAACCATAGCAACCAATCACATTCTGAACTACGGGGTGACATTGAAGGAGAGATGAGAATATCAGAAATATGTTCGGGATTCAGTAATAAGGACAGAATTTAGAATCTGAATAGACAGCATGAGGCCAGGACTAACGAGGAACCGTAGATGGCCGTAGATGGCTCGAATGTCCATCCAGTTCCTGCTGATCCGGCCGAAATTCAAGTCGGTGGCCCTTCAAACACTTCGAAAAACAAAATCTAGCCATGTATAGCTAGCTGAATATTGAGCGGCTAACAAATCCTTGATGAGGTCTTGTAGGTGTTGCTAGGCAGATTTTAAATGCAAAACGCATCAAAAACGTGGCAAGAACACAATACATGCTTTTCTGCAGCATTCCCATTGAAGTCTTTAGAACCAAAAAACGCAACGTTTTGTGTTAAAAAAAGTCCCTGACCCTTTCCAAAAAAACACACCGCGTGAAAATGCAGAAATGTGAACCCGTCCCATAGGAATCATGTTAACCACTTCCCGTCCAGGCCATGTATATAAACGGCCGGACCGTGGCAGTGCAGGAGAGGGTGGCTGTTTATAAACGGCCTCCCTGCCCCCTGCTTGTGCGCGTTCCCTGGGAGCGTACAGCACCGCGATCCGGTGCCTGCTGTGTCCTCTGGACACAGTGGAACACCAATCGTCGTACAGGACCTCTGTGTGCGGTCCCGATCATATGATCACTGATTGGCCATTCAGTGATCACATGAAGAGTTGTAAGCAAGATGTCACTTCTGACATCATTGCTTACTACGTGTGAAATCTGTGAATGATCACAGAGATCACATGGTACAGGGCCATTCACAACAGCCTTGTACCATGTGTCTCACAGTATTTGTCAATGGCTGCAGGAATGCAGCCAGAGAGAAGGAAGGAGAAATGATTGGTTTTACAGCCTTTATGGGTGTAAAAGCAATCGGTGTAAAAAAAAAAAATGTAAAAAAAAAAAATCTTCAATCACCCAAAACATAAATAATGATATAAAAAATAAAATTAAGATGTAAAAAAACCTTTTTTTAAATTATAATTTTTGGTTATAAACTAATTTGGGTTATTTTTTTTTTACATTTTGGCCAAGATTTATGATGAAATATTATTTATTTGCAAAATGTTATAAGAAAAACACTTTTTTTCAAAATTTTTGGACTTTTTCATTTAGATAGCAAAAAAAAAAAAAATCCCAGCTGTGAATAAATACCACCAAAATAGAGTTTTATCTGTCTCAAAAAAATGCTAACAAATTCATTTAGGTATAGTGTTGCACGACCGCGCAATTGTCATTCAAAGTGTGATAGCGCTGAAAGCTGAAAATTGGCCTGGACAGGAAGGGGGTGGAAAGGGTCCGGACTGGAAGGGGGTGGAAAGGGTCCGGACTGAAGGGGGTGGAAAGGGTCCGGACTGGAAGGGGGTGGAAAGGGTCCGGACTGGAAGGGGGGGGGAAAGGGTCCGGACTGGAAGGGGGTGGAAAGGGTCCGGACTGGAAGGGGGGGGGGAAGGGTCCGGACTGGAAGGGGGGGGGAAAGGGTCCGGACTGGAAGGGGGTGGAAAGGGTCCGGACTGGAAGGGGGTGGAAAGGGTCCGGACTGGAAGGGGGTGGAAAGGGTCCGGACTGGAAGGGGGTGGAAAGGGTCCGGACTGGAAGGGGGGAAAATGGACTGCTGTGTGTTTCTGCAAAATGCTGCAGAAAACGCATATGTGCGAACCAAGGGTTAAAGCATGGAAATACAACGTATTGAAATGCTGGAAGGCTCTAGATGAGGCTGGGTGTCACTATTGGGGGGGGGGGGGGGGGATGGGAATTCTGGAGGGGGTTTGGGAACTCTGCAGAAGACTTAGCGGTCCTTTGGAGGATGAAGTCTCTGGAGGGGACTGGATCTCTGCAGGAGGCTGATGGCTTTGCAGGGGCAATAGAGGAGACTGGAAGGCACTGCATGGGGCTGGGAGGCACTGTGAGAGGTTGAAAAGCACTCTGGGACACTGTTGAAGTTTGCGGGCATTATGGGGGGCTGCAGGTTCTGCAGCAGGCTAGGGGGTACTATGGGAGGATGGCGGTTCTGGAGGGGGTTTGGGGACTCTGCAGCACACTTAGTGGCTCTTTCGGGGATGTTGTCTCTGCATGGGAAGGCACTGCATTGGGCTAGGAGACACTGTGAGAGGTTGGTAGGCACTGTGGGACACTCTTGAAGGCTGTGGACATTATGGGAGGGCCGGAGGCTCTGCAGCAGGCAAGGGAATACAGTGGGAGGATGGTAGTTCTGGAGGGGGTTTGGGGCACACTTTGTAGCTCCTAGAGAGACCTCATCTCCAAAGAGCCACTAAGTGTGCCCCAAACCCCTTCCAGAACTGCCATCCTCCCACTGTATTCCCTTGCCTGCTGCAGAGCCTCCAGTCTGCCCATAATGTCCACAGCCTTCAAGAGTGTCCTAGAGTGCCCAACAAGCTCTCACAGTGCTTTGTAGCTCCTAGAGGCCTCCTCTCCAAAGAGCCACTAAGCACTGTGAGAGGTTGGTAGGCACTGTGGGACACAGTTGAAGATTGTGGGCATTATGGGAGGGCTGGAGGCTCTGCAGCATTGTGGGAGGAAGGTGGTTTTGTAGGGGGTTTGGGGAACCCTTAGTGGCACTGTTGGGTATGAGGAGTCTCCAGGAGCTGGGAGGCACTGTGGGACACTGTTGGAGAATGGGGGTGTTATGGGGGGCTGGAGGCTCTGCAGCATGCAACATTGTGAAAGGAAGGTGGTTTTGGAGGGGGTTTGGGGAACCCTTAGTGGCTCTGTTGGGTATGAGGATTCTCCAGGAGCTGGGAGGCACTGTGGGACACTGTTGGAGAATAGGGATGGTATGGGGGCCTGGAGGCTCTGCAGCAGGCTAGGGGACATTATTATGGGAGGATGGCAGTTCTTGAGGGGGTTTAGGGCACACTTAGTGGCTCTTTGGAGATGATGTCTCTAGGAGCTACAAAGCACTGTGAGAGGTTGGTAGGCTCTGTGGGACCCAGTTGAAGATTGTAGGCATTATGGGAGGGCTGGAGGCTCTGCAGCATGCAGCATTGAGGGAGGAAGGTGGTTTTGGAGGGGGTTTGGGGAACCTTTAGTGGCTCTGCTGGGTATGAGGAGTCTCCAGGAGCTGGGAGGCACTGGGGGACACTGTTGGAGAACGGGGGTGTTATAGGGGGGCTGAAGGCTCTGCAGGATTGTGAGAAGTGGTTTTGGAGGGGGTTTGGGGCACCCTTAGTGGCTCTGCTGGGTATGAGGAGTCTCCAGGAGCTGGGAGAATGGGGGTGTTATGGTGGCCTGGAGGCTCTACAGCAGGCTAGGGGACACTGTGGGAAGCTAAGTGGTGCTGTGACCAATGGAGGTACTATAGGATCTGGGAGGAACTGTGGTAGGTTAGTGGATCTGCAGCAGGCTGGAGGCCTGGATCGAGGGAGGCCATGGCCCCGCAGTGCACCACAGCCTGGTGGTTGAGAAACACTGAGCTAGTAGACCAGTCAGTTGACAAACTGCAGGCGGTGGCAGTTCATGCTGAATCATCTGCAGGTGGTGGGAAAATGAAAGTGCATCAGGATTCTAGCTCACAGGACAGCTTAGTGAACCTCAGAAGTGTGCTCATCTGCCTGTGTGTCCAGCCAGCTAGAGTTGGTTAAGTCTCCCTCTAGTGTTGGCAGATGGTATTGCAGTCTGTTCTGACCGTTTCATAGCCTTGTTTCAGCTTCCCAAGGCAGCTCTTTTCTAATCCTGAAGTTAACTGCTCTGGCTAGAAAGTCACCTTGGGCCTTATCTTTGACATACAATAACTCCTAGCAGCCAATCACATTGCAGTTCACAGTGATAGGTTTTCTTACACCGATTCCTGAATAAGTCTGAAGGATCCCCAACAAGGTCCGATCTGGGCATACACTGTATTTCTATTATAAAAGTAGTTCTGGGTGGAGACAGAACAAAGATGTGGAAAAATGTGCATTGTAGAGGTCTCTCTGGTCTCCTCCACCACCCCACCAAAATACAAGGCAGGCTCACGGCAACTTCTAGGCACTGCAGTGACAGAGAGGACACGATGGGGACTTTTCCCAGGAAGATGCAGTAGATCTACAGTATCTGTGTTTGTATTCCAACAGACGTTAGTACAAGAACTATAAAGTCTTTTAGAAAAATAAAAATCACTGCCTGAATCATATTCCTGTTTCCTGGGTGCCCCATGTAGCTGGTAGTACCCCTTACAGCACACAGCAGAACCTTGATCACAGGATACCCAGCACACCGGACTCCACCCTGATGGGGGGTGATTAGGGCCGATCACAGTGCAATGTACAGGCAGGTGGGGGGAGGAAGGGGAGTGTTGTGTCTTCCCAGGGATAGAAGAGACTCACAGCCACCCTTTGCGCTCTCTAAAAAAGGATTCTATGGTAAATCTCGGTACGGCGTATAGAATGGTGGAATCAAAAGCAAGAACCCATATTATCGCTGTTTTCTAGGCTGATGTTAGAAAAAAAGTCTTAAAGCTCCAACTCACCCATTGTCCAACAGCTGAGCTCCACCCCACTATAGAAGACTCCAGCCAGGAGTGTGAGCGAATACGAGACCCCTTCATGATTGTACAACGCTTTATCCGCACTCCATCTTCCACCGTTACTCCTGGCCCAATCGTCACATTGGGCCCAATGGAGCAATTTGTCCCGATCTTGGCAGTGGGATCCTACAGAGAAGTAGAGAAGTTATGGAGAGGTATGTTTGCAGAAGGGAGAGGGATCTACATCATCTATATCATCACTGGGTGCAGAAGAGATGTAGGGATCCCCCCCATATAGCCAAAAGTATGTGAACCCCCTTCCTAATGATTGAGTTTCAATATTTCCAATGAAGGGTCCTGGTTGGTACTCAGTTATACAAAGACATTGGAGACAATTGTGCTCTTCCAACCTTGTAACAATTTGGTGAACCCTTTTCTGTACCACCATGACTGTGCCCCCGTGTACAAAGCCAGCTCCATAAAGACATGGTAGTACCAGTTTGGTGAAGACCCTTTAATGTACCACCATGACTGTGCCCCCATGTACAAAGCCAGCTCCATAAAGACATGGTGGTACCAGTTTGGTGAAGACCCTTTTCTGTACCACCATGACTGTGCCCCCATGTACAAAGCCAGCTCCATAAAGACATGGTAGTACCAGTTTGGTGAAGACCCCTTTCTGTACCACCATGACTGTGCCCCCATGTACAAAGCCAGCTCCATAAAGACATGGTGGTACCAGTTTGGTGAAGACCCTTTTCTGTTCCACCATGACTGTGCCCCTGTGTACAAAGCCAGCTCCATAAAGACATGGTGGTACCAGTTTGGTGAAGACCCTTTTCTGTTCCACCATGACTGTGCCCGTGTACAAAGCCAGCTCCATAAAGACATGGTGGTACCAGTTTGGTGAAGACCCTTTTCTGTACCACCATGACTGTGCCCCGTGTACAAAGCCAGCTCCATAAAGACATGGTGGTACCAGTTTGGTGAAGACCCTTTTCTGTTCCACCATGACTGTGCCCCGTGTACAAAGCCAGCTCCATAAAGACATGGTGGCACCAGTTTGGTGAAGACCCTTTTCTGTTCCACCATGGCTGTGCCCCTGTGTACAAAGCCAGCTCCATAAAAGACATGGTTTGATGAGGAGGAACTCGAGTGTCTTGTCCAGAGCCCTGACCCCAACCCTACTGAGAGGGCCGTCTTAACAGCATACATAGGCCCCTGGGCACAGTAATGCTCTTGAAGTGGTTAATGATCATGGTCGACAACTTAATATTAATGGCCATGGGGGGGGGGGGGGTGGCCATTTCAAATTTATGTAAAACAAAAAAAAAAGGTAGTGAAATAGGCAACAAAGTGCAGTGAGAAGAGAAGCAGTGATTATTTCCTGCCCCTAATAAATAATAATAAATAGATCCCTAGAAAGGGGAAGATTTCCTCTGGCCTGTAGTTGCTGTTCTCTCCTTATGGTGGCAGCAGAGTACAGCAGTGTAGGTTGTGTGAGGAGTGTGATAGGAGGACAGATATACAGCGCCCCCCATACACATCGCAAGGCGTCTCCCGGTGTCACCCAATTCCCCCACACCCCGTAGCCTGTGTATATCAACTTACCACCAAGACGTTCCCCACAAAGCCGTGCCCGGCGTGGAGCCAGTCAGGGTGTTTGTGTCTCACAGACTGCAGGTACATGCACATGCCGGTCAGGAAGTCTTTGGGTTGCCCGATGTCCATCCAGAACCCTGCAGACAGGAAGATGTATCAGTCACATGATGGCGATTCGTTTTCTTACCTCGCTGAATTTTGATACTGCAGGTGACTGACGGGCTCCCATACCACTCCCCCTTCTCCTTTCTCCTCCCTCGGCCATTTTCCTCCACCTTACCCCTATTACATCCCTCCATTTCCTATCCCCTGACCTCTTTACCTTCCCTTCACCCATCTCACCATCTCCCATTCCATCCATGGAGTCCCACATGCAGCCTCCTCAAGAGGCTGTCCACTAATTCTATACAGCGGGTATAGAAAGGAATTAGTGCTCTTTAATTAATCACATTTTGTTGCTTTGCAGCCTGAAATGAAGACAGACACAGTTTTTGTTTTATCCAGCTGTATTTACGCAGCAACTTATTACATCCAAGTGAAAGATATAACACCAACATGGCAGAAAAAAAACAAAAGCAGGATCACTGAGTTGGAAAAAGGATCACCCCCCCTTCCTAAAAATGATTTGTAAACTCAATTATGTGTAGCTAATCACCTTCTCAATGGCACACAAAGCCATTTGAATTTCAGCTGTGATCATTTTGATTAGCTCAGCATGAAAAAAGCTTTCCTGGAGCATTTCAGTCCCTGATAGTGCAACTGAAGCAAACAATATACTATGGGTGGCAAGGCACTGTCACCGGGATCTCTGGATAAAGTTGTGGATAGGCACAAGTCAGGAGATGGATACAAACAATGTCAAAGGCTTTATCAATGCCTAGAAGCAGAGTGAAGTCTATTATGAAGAAGTGGAAGGTATCTGGTACAACACAGACCCTCCCTGGATCAGGACGTCTCTCCAAACTGGATGATAGAGCCAGAAGGAAACTGGTCAGAGAGGCGACCAAGAGGCCTCCAGCAACTGTCCATTCCTCTGGGGTCTGATACCCTCACTGCCCTCCTACACCCAAAAGCTGACTTTTTAGACCATTATACAGCCAAAAGTATACATATGTATAACACGGTTACAATTTTCTGGAATCTCTTGCTTATATGGTTGACATTATATGCCATACAGTCAGGTCCATAAATATTGGGACATGGACACAATTCTAACATTTTTGGCTCTATACACCACCACAATGGATTTGAAATGAAACAAACAAGATGTGCTTTAACTGTAGACTGTCAGCTTTAATTTTGAGGGTATATACATCCAAATCAGGTGAACGGTGTAGGAATTACAACAATTTGCATATGTGCCTCCCACTTGTTAAGGGACCAAAAGTAATCGGACAGAACAATAATCATAAATCAAACTTTCACTTTTTAATACTTGGTTGCAAATCCTTTGCAGTCAATTACAGCCTGAAGTCTGGAACGCATAGACATCACCAGACGCTGGGTTTCATCCCTGGTGATGCTCTGCCAGGCCTCTACTGCAACTGTCTTCAGTTCCTGCTTGTTCTTGGGGCATTTTCCCTTCAGTTTTGTCTTCAGCAAGTGAAATGCTCAATCGGATTCAGGTCAGGTGATTGACTTGGCCATTGCAGAACATTCCACTTCTTTCCCTTAAAAAACTCTTTGGTTTGCTTTTGCAGTCTGCTTTGGGTCATTGTCCATCTGCACTGTGAAGCGTCCAATGAGTTGTGAAGCATTTGGCTGAATATGAGCAGATAATATTCCCGAAACACTTCACAATTCATCCGGCTGCTTCTGTCAGCAGTCACATCATCAATAAATACAAGAGAAGCAGTTCCATTGGCAGCCATACATGCCCACGCCATGACACTACCACCACCATGCTTCACTGATGAGGTGGTATGCTTAGGATCATGAGCAGTTCCTTCTCCATACTCTTCTCTTCCCATCACTCTGGTACAAGTTGATGTCGGTCTCATCTGTCCATAGGATGTTGTTCCAGAACTGTGAAGGCTTTTTTACATGTCGTTTGGCAAACTCTAATCTGGCCTTCCTGTTTTTGAGGCTCACCAATGGTTTCCATCTTGTGGTGAACCCTCTGTATTCACTCTGGTGAAGTCTTCTCTTGATTGGTGACTTTGACACACATACACCTACCTCCTGGAGAGTGTTCTTGATCCGGCCAACTGTTGTGAAGGGTGTTTTCTTCTCCAGGGAAAGAATTCTTCGGTCATCCACCACAGTTGTTTTCTGTGGTCTTCCGGGGTCTGTTGGTGTTGCTGAGCTCACTGGTGCGTTCCCTCTTTTTAAGAATGTTCCAAACAGTTGTTTTGGCCACTCCCAAAGTTTTTGCTATCTCTCTGATGGGTTTGTTTTGTTTTTTCATCCTAATGATGGCTTCACTGATAGTGACAGCTCTTTGGATCTCATCTTGAGAGTTGACAGCAACAGATTCCAAATGCAAATAGCACACTTGAAATGAACTCTGGACCTTTTATCTGCTCATTGTAATTGGGATAATGAGGGAATAACACACACCTGGCCATGGAACAGCTGAGAAGCCAATTGTCCCATTACTTTTGGTCCCTTAACAAGTGGGAGGCACATATGCAAACTGTTGTAATTCCTACACCGTTCACCTGATTTGGATGTAAATACCCTCAAATTAAAGCTGACAGTCTGCAGTTAAAGCACATCTTGTTCGTTTCATTTCAAATCCATTGTGGTGGTGTATAGAGCCAAAAATGTTAGAAATGTGTCGATGTCCCAATATTTATGGACCTGACTGTATATACCTAAAATTAAAGCCCCCCCCCATACACAACAACCCTCCTCAACATACATAAGGCCCTAGTCTTCCCCCCATCATATTACATATAAGGCCTCGGTGCCTCTCCTTATTACATAAAGCCCAGTATCCCCCCAGTTACACTTAAGGCCCTGGTCCCCCCCCTTCCCATTACACATAAGGCCCTGGTCCCCCCCTTCCCATTACACATAAGGCCCTGGCCCCCCCCCCTTCCCATTACACATAAGGCCCTGGCCCCCCCCTTCCCATTACACATAAGGCCCTGGTCCCCCCCTTCCCATTACACATAAGGCCCTGGCCCCCCCCTTCCCATTACACATAAGGCCCTGGTCCCCCCCTTCCCATTACACACAAGGCCCTGGTCCCCCCCTTCCCATTACACATAAGGCCCTGGTCCCCCCCTTCCCATTACACATAAGGCCCTGGTCCCCCCCTTCCCATTACACATAAGGCCCTGGCCCCCCCCTTCCCATTACACATAAGGCCCTGGTCCCCTCCTTCCCATTACACATAAGACCCTGGTCCCCCCCTTCCCATTACACATAAGGCCCTGGCCCCCCCCCCCTTCCCATTACACATAAGGCCCTGGTCCCCTCCTTCCCATTACACATAAGACCCTGGTCCCCCCCTTCCCATTACACTTAAGGCCCTGGTCCCCCCCTTCCCATTACACTTAAGGCCCTGGTCCCCCCTTCCCATTACACATAAGACCCTGGTCCCCCCCTTTTTCCATAATACATAAGGCCCTGGTCCCCCCCTTTCCATTTTACATAAGGCCCTGGTCCCCCCCCCCTTTTCCATAATACATAAGGCTCTGGTACCCCCCTTTTTCCATAATACATAAGGCCCTGGTCCCCCCCCCTTTCCATTTTACATAAGGCCCTGGTCCCCCCCCCCTTTCCATTTTACATAAGGCCCTGGTCCCCCCCCCCCCCCCCTTTCCATTTTACATAAGGCCCTGTTCCCCCCCCCCCTTTTCCATAATACATAAGGCCCTGGCCCCCCCCCCTTTTCCATAATACATAAGACCCCTGGTCCCCCCCCTTTCCATGATACATAAGGCCTGGACTCCCCCCCCTCCACCTCATACATAAGGCCCCAGTGGTTCCCCTACTCACCTTGTAGCTCCATTGCAAATAATTGTCCTTCCTCAGCCATGGCCGGGAAAATCTCTTTCTCAATGGACGTCGGGCGGAGCTGCAGAGAACAGACATTAATAATGTATGCAGTTTGCTAAACTAATACATGCAGAGTGAGGATGACTATAACCCAACAATTTATTTATTTCAGGTACTTCTATAGTGCCATCATTTACATATATATTGTACATTCACATCAGTCCCTAACCCTCAAGGAGTGTACAATCTAAGGTCCCTAACTCACATTCATACATACACATACTAGGGACAATTTATACAGGATCCAATTAACCTATCAGCATGTCTTTGGAGTGTGGGAGGAAACCAGAGTACCCGGAGGAAACCCCACGCAGGCACAGGGAGAACATGCAAACTCCAGGCAGGTGGTGCTGTGGTTGGGATTCGAACCAACGACCCAAGTACTGCCAGGCGGAAGTGTGAACCATTTAGCCACTGTGCTACCCCAATAATGCAGCGAATCCCCCGATCCCCCTCCAACAGCAGTAGTGTACTGACTAAGACTTCCCTATAACTGGGGGCAGCACAGTGGCTAAATGGTTAGCACTTCTGCCTGGCAGTACTAGGATTGTTGGTTCGAATCCCAGCCACGGCACCACCTGCCTGGAGTTTTCATGTTCTCCCTGTGCCTGCGTGGGTTTCCTCTGGGTACAACGGTTTCCTCCCACACTCCAAAGACATGCTGGTAGGTGAATTGGATCCTGTCTAAATTGTCCCTAGTATGTGTATGTATGAATGTGAGTTAGGGACCTTAGATTGTACGCCCCTTGAGGGTTAGGGACTGATGTGAATGTACAATATACAGTCAGGTCCATAAATATTGGGACATGGACACAATTCTAACATTTTTGGCTCTATACACCACCACAATGGATTTGAAATGAAACGAACAAGATGTGCTTTAACTGCAGACTGTCAGCTTTATTTGAGGGTATTTACATCCAAATCAGGTGAACGGTGTAGGAATTACAACAGTTTGCATATGTGCCTCCCACTTCTTAAGGGACCAAAAGTAATGGGACAGAATAATAATCATAAATCAAACTTTCACTTTTTAATACTTGGTTGCAAATCCTTTGCAGTCAATTACAGCCTGAAGTGTGGAACGCATAGACATCACCAGACGTTGGGTTTCATCCCTGGTGATGCTCTGCCAGGCCTCTACTGCAACTGTCTTCAGTTCCTGCTTGTTCTTGGGGCATTTTCCCTTCAGTTTTGTCTTCAGCAAGTGAAATGCTCAATCGGATTCAGGTCAGGTGATTGACTTGGCCATTGCAGAACATTCCACTTCTTTCCCTTAAAAAACTCTTTGGTTGCTTTTGCAGTCTGCTTTGGGTCATTGTCCATCTGCACTGTGAAGCGTCCAATGAGTTGTGAAGCATTTGGCTGAATATGAGCAGATAATATTCCCGAAACACTTCACAATTCATCCGGCTGCTTCTGTCAGCAGTCACATCATCAATAAATACAAGAGAAGCAGTTCCATTGGCAGCCATACATGCCCACGCCATGACACTACCACCACCATGATCACTGATGAGGTGGTATGCTTAGGATCATGAGCAGTTCCTTCTCCATCCTCTTCTCTTCCCATCACTCTGGTACAAGTTGATGTCGGTCTCATCTGTCCATAGGATGTTGTTCCAGAACTGTGAAGGCTTTTTTACATGTCGTTTGGCAAACTCTAATCTGGCCTTCCTGTTTTTGAGGCTCACCAATGGTTTCCATCTTGTGGTGAACCCTCTGTATTCACTCTGGTGAAGTCTTCTCTTGATTGGTGACTTTGACACACATACACCTACCTCCTGGAGAGTGTTCTTGATCCGGCCAACTGTTGTGAAGGGTGTTTTCTTCACCACCAGGGAAAGAATTCTTCGGTCATCCACCACAGTTGTTTTCCGTGGTCTTCCGGGTCTGTTGGTGTTGCTGAGCTCTCTGGTGCGTTCCTTCTTTTTAAGAATGTTCCAAACAGTTGTTTTGGCCACGCCTAATGTTTTTGCTATCTCTCTGATGGGTTTGTTTTGTTTTTTCAGCCTAATGATGGCTTCACTGATAGTGACAGCTCTTTGGATCTCATCTTGAGAGTTGACAGCAACAGATTCCAAATGCAAATAGTACACTTGAAATGAACTCTGGACCTTTTATCTGCTCATTGTAATTGGGATAATGAGGGAATAACACACACCTGGCCATGGAACAGCTGAGAAGCCAATTGTCCCATTACTTTTGGTCCCTTAAGAAGTGGGAGGCACATATTCAAACTGTTGTAATTCCTACACCGTTCACCTGATTTGGATGTAAATACCCTCAAATTAAAGCTGACAGTCTGCAGTTAAAGCACATCTTGTTCCTTTCATTTCAAATCCATTGTGGTGGTGTATAGAGCCAAAAATGTTAGAATTGTGTCGATGTCCCAATATTTATGGACCTGACTGTATATGTAAAGCGCGGCGTACATTGACAGCGCTATATAAGTACCTGTAATAAATAAACTCCTCTTCTGGAATGACAATGTAATAGTCACTATAAAACTTGTACAGGAGTGCATATCAGGGGCCCTTCAATCAGCTGAGCATACATATTTAGTTGAAAGGTGATGGAAGAAAGGTGATTGGTTGAGGTTCTCAAGCCTTGCCTGTTCCATCATTCATCCTGAGAACATCAGGACAGCCTGTGATGTAGTACAAAAGGGGACCCCAGCAGACTACACTAAGCAATGCATCGCACTGCCCTGCCCATGCATCGCACTGCCCTGCCCATGCATCGCACTGCCCTGCCCATGCATCGCACTGCCCTGCCCATGCATTGCCCTGCCCATGCATCGCCCTGCCCTGCCCATGCATCGCCCTGCCCTGCCCATGCATCGCCCTGCCCTGCCCATGCATTGCCCTGCCCATGCATCGCCCTGCCCTGCCCATGCATCGCACTGCCCTATGCATCCCTGCACATGCATCGCACCCCTGCCCTGCCCATGCATCGCACTGCCCTGCACATATACACCTTCCTAAAACAGATCAGAGTGACTACTAACTTTTCTCCTTTGTGATGGAGACATGAAACGGTCACCTGATCTGGCTGGGTGAGTCAATAGTCACTTCATGTCAATGGTCAGACTTTGATCCGAGAGATAATCCCACCTTCCTCATAGGACTGAAGGTGCAGCCGAGACAATGTACCTTGTCAGTGTTCTGTTGTCCCCCATGCTGGAGCTTTAGGGGCCGGGTGTAGGGGGATCTTCCTCTGCCTCTGCCATAGCGCTCAGAACAGGGTTTGATGACTGGAAAAGCTCATTGTTGGGTTGCTGAAAGGACAATCACTACGCAAGGGGAAATCTAACTCCAGGATTCAGTTCCTGTTGATTCTCTCCTATCAGCAGAGAACATTTTTCCTTCAGGTTGTAAATGAGTCAAGGAAGTGAAAATCCTACTAAAATACATCAGGTGAGTGACTGAGTCACCACCACACCCAATGCAATACATTCCCTACCTTTGACTGTGTCACATGACTGCGGGGTGCTCCAATGGGCTGGCAGGGATACTTCCATGGACCATTACACCTAGTGCTATAAAATTCCTTCCAATGGCTGCGTCACATGACTGCGGGGTGTTAGTATGCCCTGGCAGGGATAGACCATTACACCCAGCGATATAAATTTCCTTCTAATGGCTGTGTCACGTGACTGCGGGGTGTCCTATGGGCTGGCAGGGATACTTCCATGGACCATTACACCTAGTGCTATTAAATTCCTTCCAGTGGCTGCGTCACGTGACTGCGGGGTGCTAGTATGGGCTGGAATGGATGCATCCATAAACCATTACACCCAGCGATATAAATTTCCTTCTAATGGCTGCGTCACGTGACTGCGGGGTGTCCTATGGGCTGGCAGGGATACTTCCATAGACCATTACACCCAGCGATAGAAAATTCCTTCCAATGGCTGCATCACATGACTGCGGGGTGTTAGTATGCACTGGCAGGGATACTTCCAAAGATTACATCCAGTGAAAAAATTCCTTCCAATGGCTGCATCACATGACTGCGGGGTGTCCTATGGGCTGGCAGGGATACTTAGACCATTACACCCAGCGATATTCAGTCCCATCCATGGCTGTGTCATCTGCGGGGTGTTAGTATGCGCTGGCAGGGATACTTCCAAAGACCATTACATCCAGCGATATAAAATTCCTCCCAATGGCTGTGTCACATGACTGCGGGGTGTCCTATGGGCTTCCAGGGATACTTCCATAGACCATTACACCCAGCAATATTCAGTCCCGTCCGATGGCTGTGTCATATGACTGCAAGTATTCCTACGAGCTGGAAGAGATTTTTATAGACCAACATACCCAATGATACAAGATCCCTTCCTATCACTTGGGCACATTTACTAAAACTGGAGCACACAGAATCTGTGGCAGCTGTGCTTAGTAACCAATCAGCTCCTTACGTCAGCTTGTTCAGTTGAGCTTTGACAAGAAATCCTGGAAGCCGATTGGTTTCTATGCACAGGCACACTACATTCTGTGTGCTCCAATTTCAGGAGATCCCCTCCATTGTGTCACATGACTGCTTGGTGTCATTATGGGTGGGCAGGAATACTTCTATAGACAGACGTGATCTGTACACCCGGATCAGTACAGTGCTGAGGTCAGACCAGCGCAGACATACGTGAGCCCTGCCTGTGCCATCTTGTTACCTGGATCCGGTTCAGTATAGACGGGCAGAAGATATATAATCCGGAGTTGATCTTGTTGGATACGAAGACTTGCGGTTTCTCGACAAAATCGCTGGATACTGCCCGTTTCTCCCTCGTATACCACCACGCCGTACTTCGAGGGTTCCTCCACCTTTGTAACCTGCATAGAGAGAAGAATATCTTTTATTGGATTCCAGCTCTTCCTCCTCGGATGTCTGTCTCTGCACCCTGAACACCCCCATTTCCCTGTCTATTCCTGGAGGGGTAATAGGAATGGTCATTGTAAAGACGACATTGTACATGACTGATGAGCACACAATAACCCCCGGTTCACATCTGTGCGGGTGGTGCCGCTGAGGATCCGCACAAAAATCCGTGCAGCCGCACCACCCGCACAGAGGAATGTGGACCCGCGGACAGGTGCCATTGAGTCTAATGGCATGCCACCCGCATTGGAAATCACAACCATACTGGGAACCTCAGTTCCTGTGAGGGCTGCGTTTTCCGAAGAAGTGCAGGGACTTCTTCCCTCCGTGTCCTGGGGCACTGGAGTCCATTCAAATGAACAGGCTCTCATGCCCGAGCAGCAAAACGCAGAGATGTGAACCTAGCCTTATAGACCATTATTAGTAATAATCGCTGGTATTATTATTATTATTATACAGGATTTATAGAGCCAACAGTTTGCTCAGCGCTTTGCAATATAACGGGAGACAATACAGCAACAATACAGTTCAATACAAGAGGGATAGGAGGGCCCTGATCCTGGGAGCTTACAATCTAAGAGGGAGGGGCTAGTGGTACAAAAGGTAGTAACTGTGGGGGATGGACTGGTTGGAAGAGTAGAAGATTTCATTATTAGCTGAGGGCAGGATAGGCTTCCCTGAAGAGAGAGGTTTTCAGAGATCGCCTAAAAGTGAGCAGAGTAGGCGAGAGTCTGATAGATTGGGGTAGAGAGTTCCAGAGGATGGGGGAAGCACTGGAGAAGTCCTGGAGATGAGCATGGGAGGAGGAGACAAGGGAGCTTGGGTGATATTTAGAGACAAGATTGGTGATGTAATTTGGGGCGGAGTTATAAATGGCTTTATATGTTATTGTAAATGTTTTGAATTTTATCCGTTGGGCAACGGGAAGCCAGTGGAGGGATTGGCAGAGAGGGGTGGAGGACACTGAGTGGAGGCCAGTGGAGGGATTGGCAGAGAGGGGTGGAGGACACTGAGTGGAGGCCAGTGGAGGGGTTGGCAGAGAAGGATGGAGGACACTGAGTGGAGGCCAGTGGAGGGATTGGCAGAGAGGGATGGAGGACACTGAGTGGAGGCCAGTGGAGGGATTGGCAGAGAGGGGTGGAGGACACTGAGTGGAGGCCAGTGGAGGGGTTGGCAGAGAGGGATGGAGGACACTGAGTGGAGGTCAGTGGAGGGATTGGCAGAGAGGGATGGAGGACACTGAGTGGAGGCCAGTGGAGGGATTGGCATAGAGGGGTGGAGGACACTGAGTGGAGGCCAGTGGAGGGATTGGCAGAGAGGGGTGGAGGACACTGAGTGGAGGCCAGTGGAGGGATTGGCAGAGAGGGGTGGAGGACACTGAGTGGAGGCCAGTGGAGGGATTGGCATAGAGGGATGGAGGACAATGAGTGGAGGCCAGTGGAGGGATTGGCAGAGAGGGGTGGAGGACAATGAGTGGAGGCCAGAGGAGGGATTGGCAGAGAGGGGTGGAGGACACTGAGTGGAGGCCAGTGGAGGGATTGGCATAGAGGGATGGAGGACACTGAGTGGAGGCCAGTGGAGGGATTGGCAGAGAGGGTATGGCCAACACACAGCCTTAGCTTCAATCGGACAATCCCACAATCACTGGAAGTCGTATCGGTGTGCCCGGGGACTTCTCCTTTAAGCCCCCACCAGCCATAAGCTGTATGGTACGCACAGACAACAGGGAAGGTCGCACTCACCACAATGGTCCCCTCCTGCCCGTGTTGCCGGTGGAAACGAACCATCTCTTCGAAGGGGAAGTCGCAGATGACGTCACTGTTCAGCACAAAGAAAGGCTCCGCGTTTTCGGTCAGTAAGTCTCTTGCGAGAGCGAGCGGCCCGGCTGTGTGTACAGGAAGGGGGGGGGGGGGGGTCACAAATCCGACTGCACAGACCGGACTACAACACCAAAACCTCAGTCCATTCGCGGACTGTAAGGGGTGCAAGGCTCACCTGTGCCCAGCGGCTCCTTCTCATGGGACATGGAAATTCGGATCCCCAGCTGAGGGAGACACAGGAAACACAGAATGAAAAATGCCTGGGCTGCTGGAGCCACAGACAGAGTAAATATAGACAGAGCCGTACAGAATACACAGGCAGAGGAAGTGGAGGATCACCATGACCCCTCATCTGAGATCTGCAGGAACACCGAGGATGGGGCTCACACTATTGACTCTTGAGATATTGGGGAGACTCACCCTCTTCTCCTGCTCCTTCATCTCCTTCTCCAGCATGTCTGACATGTAACTGACGGCCAGGATCACATGTTTAACCCCCGCCTGTCCAGAAGAGAGAAGACAGTCATACAGAGTCCAATACACACACAGATCTTCTGATCACATTGAAAGATATAGGAACTGCCCGCCTGAGAGACAACCGCAAGACGTCTATCAATCTGACCCAATATTACTACATGGATGTCCCCGATATCAGATTGATTGATGTTACCATGACAACAGTTACCGATCCCTGTACACAGAAGAGGAGACCGGCTCTACAGTCCCTGTACACAGTATATGAGGCCGGCCCTATAGATCCCGTACACAGTATATGAGGCCAGCCCTATAGATCCCGTACACAGTATATGAGGCCGGCCCTATAGGTCCTGTACACAGTATACGAGGCCAGCCCTATAGGTCCCCGTACACAGTATATGAGGCCGGCCCTATAGATCCCGTATACAGTATATGAGGCCGGCCCTATAGGTCCCCGTACACAGTATACGAGGCCAGCCCTATAGATCCCGTACACAGTATATGAGGCCGGCCCTATAGGTCCTGTACACAGTATACGAGGCCGGCCCTATAGGTCCCCGTACACAGTATACGAGGCCAGCCCTATAGGTCCCCGTACACAGTTATGAGGCCGGCCCTATAGATCGCTGTACACAGTATATGAGGCCGGCCCTATAGATCGCTGTACACAGTATATGAAACCGGCCCTATAGGTCCCTGTACACAGTATATGAGGCCGGCCCTATAGGTCCCTGTACACAGTATATGAGGCCAGGTCTATAGATCCCGTACACAGTATATGAGGCCGGCCCTATAGATCGCTGTACACAGTATATGAGGCCGGCCCTATAGATCGCTGTACACAGTATATGAGGCTGGCTCTATAGGTCCTGTACACAGTATATGAGGCTGGCTCTATAGGTCCTGTACACAGTATATGAGGCCGGCCCTATAGGTCCTGTACACAGTATATGAGGCCGGCTCTATAGGTCCTGTACACAGTATACGAGGCCAGGTCTATAGGTCCTGTACACAGTATATGAGGCCGGCCCTATAGGTCCCGTACACAGTATATGAGGCCGGCCCTATAGGTCCCCGTACACAGTATATGAGGCCGGCCCTATAGATCGCTGTACACAGTATATGAGGCCGGCCCTATAGATCCCTGTACACAGTATATGAGGCCGGCCCTATAGATCCCTGTACACAGTATATGAGGCCGGCCCTATAGGTCCCTGTACACAGTATATGAGGCCGGCTCTATAGGTCCCTGTACACAGTATATGAGGCCGGCCCTATAGGTCCCTGTACACAGTATATGAGGCCGGCTCTATAGGTCCCTGTACACAGTATATGAGGCCGGCCCTATAAGTCCTGTACACAGTATATGAGGCCGGCCCTATAGGTCCTGTACACAGTATATGAGGCCGGTCCTATAGGTCCTGTACACAGTATATGAGGCCGGCCCTATAGGTCCCTGTACACAGTATATGAGGCCGGCCCTATAGATCGCTGTACACAGTATATGAGGCCGGCCCTATAAGTCCCTGTACACAGTATATGAGGCCGGCCCTATAGGTCCCCGTACACAGTATATGAGGCCGGCCCTATAGGTCCCTGTACACAGTATATGAGGCCGGCTCTATAGGTCCTGTACACAGTATATGAGGCCGGCTCTATAGATCGCTGTACACAGTATATGAGGCCGGTCCTATAGGTCCTGTACACAGTATATGAGGCCGGCCCTATAGTTCCCTGTACACAGTATATGAGGCCGGCCCTATAGGTCGGATGGTTGTGTGTTTTCATGTCCTCACCTTCACCAGAGCCTCCACCTGATGCAGAAGGATGGGCTTGTTGCAGAAATCCACCAGAGGTTTGGGGACGCTCAGAGTCAGAGGGCGGAGCCGGGTCCCAAAGCCGCCGACCAGGATTAAGGCCTTCATGTTCCTGTGACAGACAGAGGTCAGAGCAAAGCAGGAGAACCAACTGATCTATATCATGTACAGCACTGAGCAGGTATGGGGGGGGGGGCACTCATGGAGCTGCTGGGACCCTCCCATTCTACATCTCGGGGCCCCATTCTGACCAGAGGAAAGGTGTGATAGGATCAAGCTATCCACAGCAGCCGATAAATTGACCCCGAGCAGGAAGAGCGACCCCACCCGGGGAATGGAACGGACAGACAGAGATTTCGCTCGGCGTGTCACTGCAGTGGGCAAACCTGTTCTCCCGCTCAGTACAATGGAGGAGACATTCCCTGCCGACTCATCCCACAGACGTCACCCACCACCGGGAGCCGCCAGGACACCCGACGTACGGAGGCTGAGGTGAGGTCATAATGGGACAGCTGGATGCTAAGGGATACAGAGGACAGGTGGTTGCTATGGGATACCACACATCTGGTTGCTACTGAATACTACACGTCATCTGGTTGCTAAGGGATACAGAAGACAGGTAGTTGCTATGGAACACCACACATCATCTGGTTGCTATGGGATACAGAAGACAGGTAGATGCTATAGGATACCACTCATCTGGTTGCTAAGGGATACAGATGACAGGTGGTTGCTATGGTATGCCGCACATCTGGTTGCTACTGAATACTACACGTCATCTGGTTGCTAAGGGATACAGAAGACAGGAGGTTACTATGGGATACTGCACATCATCTAGTTGCTAAGTGATACAGAAGACAGATGGTTGCTATAGGAAAACACTCATCTAGTTGCTAAAGGATACTGGCAATTGGTTGCTACGGGATACCACACATCTGGTTGTTACTGAATACTATACATCTGGTTGCTAAGGGATACAGAGGGCAGGTGGTTTCTATGGGATACAGCACATCTGGTTGTTACTGAATACTACACATCTGGTTGCTAAGGGATACAGATGACAATTGGTTGCTATGGGATACCACACAACTAGTTGTTAATACTATACATCATCTGGTTGCTAAGGGATACAGAGGACAGGTGGTTGCTATTGCATACCACACATCTAGTTGCTACTGAATACTACACTTCTAGTTGCTAAGGGATACAGAAGACAAGAGGTTGCTATGGGATACCACACATCATCTGTTTGCTATAGCAAACCACTCATCTAGTTGCTAAGGGATACAGACAATTGGTTGCTATGGGATACAGCATATCTGGTTACTACTGAATACCACACATCATCTGGTTGCTATGGGATACAGAGGACAGCTGGTTACAAAAGGATAACACTCATATTCCCCACTCTACAACCCCAGTCCTCTGGAGATCTCTGTAGTGTCCGTATGGCATGGAGCCGGTGCACTACAGCTCCCAGCATGCACACCCCTCCCATAGAGCCCTAACTGGGGGGTGCGGGGAGTTGTAGTGTATCTATAGTGCCAGTCCTCCAGGCTGTACCCCTCACACTGGACATAATTGGAGTTGTAGTCCTCCAGGCTGTTCCCTCCCCCCCCCCACACAGGACATGCTGGGGGTTGTAGTCCTCCAGGCTGTTCCCTCCCCCACACGCACAGGACATGCTGGGGGTTGTAGTCCTCCAGGCTGTTCCCTCCCCCCCCCACACAGGACATGCTGGGGGTTGTAGTCCTCCAGGCTGTTCCCTCCCCCACACGCACAGGACATGCTGGGGGTTGTAGTCCTCCAGGCTGTTCCCTCCCCACACACACACACAGGACATGCTGGGGGTTGTAGTCCTCCAGGCTGTTCCCTCCCCCACACGCACAGGACATGCTGGGGGTTGTAGTCCTCCAGGCTGTTCCCTCCCCCAAACACACACAGGACATGCTGGGGGTTGTAGTCCTCCAAGCTGTTCCCTCCCCTCCACACACACAGGACATGTTGGGGGTTGTAGTTTCTTTGAGGACCCCCATACACTCACTATCTCCTCCAGCAGTGTCTGTCCATGCTGGGAGCTGTAGTCCTCCTGGCTGTCTCCCCTCACGCAGGACATGCTGGGGGTTGTAGTGTCTCAGAGGTACCACAACTCCCAGCATGCTGCCCCCCTCCCCAAGCAGGGTCTGTCCACGCTGGGAGTTGTAGTCTCCCCGGAAGTCTCACCTGCTGCTCTCTCACAGCTTCCAGCTCAGCAACATTCAAACCTGAGGCGTCCACCGACAAGGGGCGGGGCTATCATCATACTTCCTGTTCCGGGCCCTCCCCTGGACTCCGCCCCTGTCCCCTCCCCCGGGCTCCCTCAAGGGTTGATGTGTCTCTCAACGCTCTAGGGGGCCCCGGGGGCTCCACTCTGCGGTCACGTCGAGCTCCGCCGCTCTCATCTCTCAGCTCCTCCCGCCTTTGCAGGGATTGGTTGACGACTTTCAGTCCAGAAGTGGGACCACCCCTGCACGAGAACTCTACCAATCCGGGAGCGGCACACCTCCCACTACGATTGGATGACGACCGACCGTTGCTATGGAGACAGTTCCAGCAACGCGGAAGAGCAGTGACAGAAGCGTTTGACGTCGGCAGCAGGGCTCATAGCGACCAATCACAGAAAATCCTGCTTGAGAGAGGCGTGGAGTCTGCGTTCCCATAGCAACCGATCACACCGCTCGGTAAAAATCCACATAGCGTCCGCTATGGGGGAGGATGAGCTACAGACTGGCATAGATTCCTGTTGGGGCTCCATCCAGCCAGACTCTCAGCTGAAGAGGAACTCCGATCCACTGTAATCCCGACCATCCAATCCTCGGGCCGGAGTGCGGCTTTACGTTTATGTGGGACCCAAGCAGAAGGTCTGTCCGCTCTATACACACTCAGATCTACAGTTGCAAGAAAAAGTATGTGAACCCCTTGGGATTCCGTGGAGTTTTGCATGAATTGGGCATAAAATGTGCTCTGAACGTCATCTAAGTCACAACAATAGAAGAACACAGTCTGCTGAACATAATACTACACAAACATTACATGTTGCCATGGTTTAATTGCACATAACATGTAAACATTCACAGTGCAGGGAGGAAAAAGTATGTGAACCTTTGGACTTAATAACTGGTTGACCCTCCTTTGGCAGCAATAACCTCAACCAAACGTTTCCTGTAGTTGCAGATCAGACCTGCACAACGATCTGGAGTAATTGTGGACCACTCCTCTTCACAAAACTGTTTCAGTGTAGCAATATTCTTGGGATGTCTGGTGTGAATCGCTCTCTTAAGGTCATGCCACAGCATTTCAATGGGGTTGAGGTCAGGACTCTGACTGGGCCACTCCAGAAGGTGTATTCTGTGCTGTTGCAGCCATTGTTTTGTTGAATTACTTGTATGCTTTGGGTCATTGTCCTGTTGCATCACCCATCCTCTGCGGAGCTTCAGTTGGCGGACAGATGGTCGTACGTTTTCCTGCAAAATGTCTTGATAAACTCTGGAATTCATTTTCCCATCAATGACAACAATCCGTCCAGGCCCTGAGGCAGCAAAGCAGCCCCAAACCATGATGCTCCCTCCGCCATGTTTCACAGTGGGGATGAGGTTTTGATGTTGGTGTGCTGTGCCTTTTTTTCTCCACACATAGTGTTGTGTGTTCTTCCCAAACAACTCAATCTTGGTGTCATCTGTCCACAGTATATTTTGCCAGTAGTGCTGTGGAACATCCAGGTGCTCTTTTGCAAACTTCAAACATGCTGCAATCTTCTTTTTGGACAGCAATGGCTTCCTCCGTGGTGTCCTCCCATGTACTCCATTCTTGTTTAATGTTTTCCTTATTGTAGATGTGTCAACAAAAATGTTAGCATGTGCCAGAGATTTCTGTAGGTCTTTAGCTGACACTCTGGGATTCTTCTTCACCTCATGCAGCATTCTGCGCTGTGCTCTTGCAGTCATTTTTACAGGACGACCACGCCTAGGGAGAGTAGCAACAGTGCTAAACTTTCTCCATTTGTAGACAGTCTGTCTTACCGTGGACACATGAACATCACGGCTTTTGGAGATACTTTTGTAACCCTTTCCAGCTTCATGCAAGTCAACAATTCTTGATGGTAGGTCTTCTGCGAGGCATGGTTCACATCAGACAGTGCTTCTTGAAACCAGTAAACCCAGAACAGGTGTGTGTCTTTTAAGGGCAGGACGGCTGTCAGCAACACATCCAATATCATCACACTGATTGGAGTCAAGGTTGGCTCACTCCTGGCTCCAATTAGCTCTGGGAGAAGTCATTAAGCTAGGGGCCTCACATACTTTTTCCTCCCTGCACTGTGAATGTTTACATGTTATGTGCAATTAAACCATGGCAACATGTAACGTTTGTGTAGTATTATGTTCAGCAGACTGTGTTCTATTGTTGTGACTTAGATGACGTTCAGAGCACATTTTATGCCCAATTCATGCAAAACTCCACGTAATCCCAAGGGGTTCACATACTTTTTCTTGCAACTGTACATCGGGCAATTGTTTACCATCATTTCCCGGGATCCTGACACCCGCACCACTGAGCTCCGCCCCTTTTCCAACCGCCCTGGAACAATCATAGCTAGAAAAATTCCTGAGCCTGCCCCTGCGGATCCTCACATTCCCATATAAGGACATGAAGAAGTGGAGAATATCGGAGTACTGAGGTAGGAAGGGTGATGGATCCTCATCAACCAAAACCTGAGGAGGGAAAAACTAAGTGGGAGCAGATTACTAACATCCAACTATATAGATGCATCATGAGCTCCCCGAAGGATCCGCCCGCACAGCGTGACCTCACCGAAGGATCCTCCCACACGCCGTGACCTCCCCCCAGGATCCGCCCGCACGCCGTGACCTCCCCGAAGGATCCTCCTGCACGCCATGACCTCCCCACGAGATCCTCCTGCATGCCGTGACCTTCCCGCGGGCTCCTTCCGCACGCCATGACCTCCCCGCGAGATCCTCCTGCATGCTGTGACCTTCCCGCGGGCTCCTTCCGCACACCATGACCTCCCCACGAGATCCTCCCGCATGTCGTGACCTCCCCGCGGGCTCCTC